TATATATATATATATATATGTGTATATGAAAATTCTGTAGAAATGGGTTTTCCCCTGTGTTGCCGAGACTGGTCTTGAACTCCTGACCTCAGCAATCCTACCACCTCTGTCTCCCAAAGTGCTGGTATTACAGGCATGAGCCACCTGTAATACCAGCCACATTTGTTTTTTAACCTCCCAACTATTTATAATATTCTACAAAATTTTAAAAACGCTCATACGTAAATACTGAGCATTTTATTCAACATTTGGCAAGTATTTGCTGCATGCAAACAAGGTATGAGACAACAATCTGGGCACCTGAGACACTTTAATGAATAAAATAGATAAAATTTGTTGTCCAAAGAGATCAAGCATTCTAGTAGAAGTAGAGAGACAAAAATTAAAAGGATAAACAAATTATATATCAGGTTGATTGATAAAATGTGCTGTGGCAAATGTGTATTTTCAAAAACAGAGAAAGGAGAAATGGGTGTGGAGGACTGTGATTTTAAATAGACCAGCCAATATATTTCTCACTAAAAAGGTCACATTTAAAAATGGACTTGAAGGTAGTTATAAAGTTAACTTTGTGGCTATGCAGGGAGAGATTACTCCAAAGAAAGTGATTAGTCAGTCACATGGAAAAAAATGCTTGCCAATTTTGAGGTAAAACAAGGAATCCAGAATAATTGAACTGAAATGAGTGAAAGAAATAAGAATAATTTATCAGAGAAATAATGGAAATCTGATCTGACGGGTCTTTAGAGGCCACTATGAGAACTGCCTCTCACTGTAAATGAACAACTGGTAAGCTCTGAAAAGAGAAGTGACACGTCTAAACTTAGCTAGTTAAATAAAGAAGCATACCTGCTCTGTATTGGGTTGGAAATAGATGGCAGGAACAGAAGCTAGTGAGAAGAAACACTTAGAAGCACATTGCAGTAATCAAGTATGAGTATTAGACCAGCATTGTAGCAGGAGATGTGATGAAAAGTCTTTGTATACCTGTTACATTTTGAAGGCATCATTAGTAGGATTTTTTTAAAGTATTAGATATGGAGGATAACAGAATGAGATCAATGAAGATTGACTGCTTGGTTTATGGCCTGGACAATTAGAAGGATAGCATTTTCATTAACTGAGATGGGACAAGCTGAGAAAAGATTGGAATGGAAATTAGCAGTTAAAATTTGGACACGTTACTTTTGGCATGTCTATTCAAGTAGAAATTTAGAATAGGTAGTTGGGTATATGTTTGGATTATTAGAAAGAGGTGAAGGTGGGAGGCATAAAATCAGAAATTTTCAATCTATATCTTATGTAGATATAGATAAGGACATGTATAGTAACTGGAAAATTGATAAGAATACTGAGGACCTGAATTTAACTAGACAGGAAGAAAGCCTGGGTAACTCTAAAGTAAAGAGCTAGAAAAGAAGAGAAAGAACCAGTAACAAAGACAGAGTAAAGTTAAAGAACAACCAACAGAATAAAGAATCCTGGAGGCCAATTATGATACTTGTTCCAGTAAAAGGAATGATCAATATCCACCGATGACTAAGGTAAGATATTATTGTTTTTTTGTTCTTGTTTGTTGGCTTACTTTTATTGTTAATATTATTTTATTTTCTTTACTAAGTTTTGTGTTTAAGTTATTGGAATCGATTCAATGTGCCTGAGAGCAAAATTGAATGGAATAATATCCAGGCTTCTATTAAAATTCAAATAGTGTAGAGAGGTTATTCATACTGACAGAAATTCAGATATAAATATAGACATATTCTGAAAATTATTGAACTTTCTAAATAAAACAATGAAATTAAGTTTAATTATATTTGGGATAATGGTTACTCAATTGATTTTAATTTAATTCTATTTTAGTTTGAAATAATCAGAGCTAATTAATTTAGTTTGGTAAGTACACATTAAGAATAAATTATCTTCAAATTTTACCAACCCCATAGTTCATGAGAATAAAGTAATAGAAACTAATCTTACTGAGGATATTGTGTGCATCTAGTAAGATAAATTCCCAATCCAATAGGGTGAATATTATGATGTCTGTTTTTCTGAAGAATTTCAATGATTCATTTAGCCTGCTAGTAAGAAAATAACAAAATCTTGTCCATCTGGCTTCTAAATGCATTTCCCCTACTATGGATATTTCATAGATTGTTAGAAAACTATAGAAAATATTAGTATTACACAGATCTGTTAATTTCCTTGATTCAATCAGATCCTCTGATTCATGATATTTAAGTCAGGTATAGAAAAACAATCATATATCAGTTAATATTAATTCTGCTAGCTCTGTCCTTCTTAGAAAGACTACCATAGGTCAGCCATTTCACAGATCAAAGAAAGGGAGAACTTTGAAACTAACTTCATTATTTGTCAAAAAATAAACCAGCCAAACAATATTTCACAAGCTAAAAAATTTAATGCCTTATTCTATCTAATGGTGGTATGACTCTCTCACATCAATTGTAGATCTATAGCTTATAAGTAGCTTGGTTTGTTGCAGTGCTCTTAGTGTTTCAAGCATGGTAAGCCCAGGCAAGCTACATAACTATCAATTTCCTCATCTCTCCTGCCACATAACGTCTTCTTTTTTTAAACAGCCACTACATGTACAGTCAGTATAGGTCTTCTTAGAGTTGATTTACTTATTGTTACTTAATCTTCTAGTGATTATAGAATAAAGTGATTGATTATAAAAGGGCTTGCTAGATGCATAATTTGTTTTTTAATTACCTCAAGCCCCTCTGTATATCATATTCAGATATTTGTCTGATCTATGATGGATGAGCTTTGGCAATGGGGAAACTAATTATTTTCTAAGGTAAAACTAAAATTATCTAAATTAAAACTAAAACTAAAATCTTTCTGTTTTCTAGGTGATTGTGATCAGCAGAAACATTTCAAATAATTCTTAATAGTATTTTTTTTTTCTTAGCATTAAGTTAAATCCTTAATATGTGTTAGCTATTGAAGATAAAGTTCTAGAGTTAGTCTTGGTCTACAAAAGCTTAGTGATATAACAACAAATAAGTACTTGTTTATAATTTGGTATTTGCTCCTTAAAATCTCTTGGTAACAGACTAGACAAAGTTAAATTTCTCCTCTCTGAATTCCACCTAGGAATCACCATGAGCATGGCATTCGCTGCTTAAAGGATGAATAATTAAAGAAAAATAAAAGGTTAATTCTTGGCACAGAAAATAGATAACATGCAATCTCTCTGTGAAGTTTCCATCTCTTGGTTTAAACTTTATCCTCTAGGCCAAATCAGGGCCAGTTTATATATGGCAATCTTTCAAATATTTGCAGATGATGGTTAAGATTCCCATCTCTTCTTCTCTCCCATGCTTTGAGATGCCTGTATTCTATTTTCTGCACAATCACAATCACTAGTAAGCCATCACATTCTTTTAGGTTTCTTTTCTCTACTTTTCCTTTAGCTCTTTCAAAATTTTCTCTAATACGATGACTTGGAATTTCCTCAATAAAATAATAAATTTGAAAACAAACTCTCTAGTCTTCAATACATATTTTAAACATGTTACCCACAGCTGAGCACATATCCCATGAATTGTCTCATCATGAAGGAAAAAAAAATCAGAACTATGATTTCTCATTTTGAAAAGTATACTATTATTGAAATAAGATTGATTTATATTTTTTCTAGATTTACATAACATTACTGGCACACACTTCATTTACTCTCAAATATAATTCACTGGTTGATCCCATAGTAAAGACTTGCAAAAAAACAAAGTTTATTATCCACAACTATATATATATACATGTAATATTTTATATTCCAAATGTGTCTCATACTCTATTGATAATTAGACATCAGTGGTCCTATAAACATTAGTCCATATTTAAGTGACTGAAATGGAAAAATTTGTACCAAGTTATTTTATGCTTTCACTACATTGTAGGTCCAAATTCATGCAGTAGTTTCTGAACTGCTTATTCCCTGAGTGAATCATGTTTTACATTTGAAAGTGTAAAACATTTTGTTATAAATGAGATCAGATCTGTCTCTAGGAATTAAATAAAATGAAATGTATTTTATAAATACTAGTTTATTTCATAAAAATACAAAAATATAAATATACATTTATAAAAATATGAATGAATTAACACAGACATTCTTCAACTAAATAAATATGGCAGTAATAGTCATTCCTATTTCATTAGGGTTATATCTTTTCCATATTAATTTACAAAGCAGTTGCACAATGTTTAGTTTAATAGTAAAGGTGACTGAAAGTCAGTTAAGAAAACATTTATAAATTATTATACCTAAGAAAAGGCACAAAAAGCCTTTTAAGTATTTTTATTGATTATTGATGTGATATACTTTCCTTCCGAGATTGTTAGGCAAAGAGGGTGAACTGATTATTACTTTTTAAAAAATCTATGTCATTCATATTCATTCACGAATACTTACTGATTAAGCAAGTCCCCACTAAGACAACACCTATGTATTGTTTGTAATTTCAATTTTTTGAAAAATTTCCTTCCAGGGTGATAATTCAGGCCACTCAATCTAATAACATAGTACTCCCACTAAAATGACCAAATCAAACAATCCTCTTAGTCTCGATCACTATCATCACCCCCGTACATATCAGCAAGTTTTTTAAAACGAGGCCCCCAGTCACTGAGGTAATCATAATCTTGGTTACAATCAACTGTAAGAGATTCTAAAGAACTGAGTGAATCTGCTATGGAATCATTCCCTTCATAGGCATATGTTGCCAGTGAATCGTATGGAGGTGCACTTGGGTCTGCATCATTTTCTTTTAATCTTCGATGGATAAAATCTTGTACATCAATATTTTCCCACAGAGGCACAGTCCTCCTGATCTGAAAAATCGTTTCAGGCATTACATCCCGTCTAAGTTTACTGTCTTCTCTCGCCTCTGGATTCCTTAATGTGCCAATGTCAAAAGCTTGGGTATCTTCCTCCCCACCGCCTTCATCATTGTAGGTCACAACGTTGTCCCGGACGTCGTCTTTTGAAATTATCAGAGGTTCCTTTTTTCTTTGCCTCTTCAATGCAGCAAACAGCACGACTAAAACTATTAATAAGAAATGAGAAAACCGTGAGATTTCATGAGTCAGGATAAAATAGAGCACACTTCTGTGTGTGAAATTTGCTTGGTGCAGGAGATACTAAGATTGATTGAATAAAAAGAATTAACTACCCTGTACAAATACAGAGTTCCTCAAGGCAATAACTGGATGTACCGTATTGATAAAGGAGCAGGTATTACCATGCCATTAATCTACGGTCAAGACATACTCTCCTATGAACTTCTGGCATTGAAAAAGCTTTACTCAAGTACAATTATTATATGTGTCCAACTGTAACTGCCTGACACCTCAGCAGTCTTTACAAATGGGCACTTGTTTCAAATACAAAAATGCTAAAATTCTAATCATAATGATATTGATCATTCCTTTCAGTTTGGCACAAATATAATTTCTTAATGATTCAAGGGAATGTATGCAAAACATTACACAAATATAGATACATATATACTTGTATATGCATTATATTCATATGTTATGTGTGTGTATACAAACACACATGAATATGTACAAATCACTGATTTTATCACTACCCATATCGCCTATGTTTGACTAAATTCCTTTAGTGGTCTAATTTTGCAGGAGGCTTGGAAAGATGAAATATAACTCTAAAAGTTACAACATAAAATTCAAACTCAAACTCATCTTTAACTTATCTTTAAAAACATCTCAGATTGCATCGTTAATGAGGACTTCCTTTGACACACACGGTCTGATTTCGGCGGAATGAAATGTTAATTGTATTGCCTCTGCTTGCTTTATTATTTTTATTGTTTACATGTCTATGTTACAAAGTCAACTGTGAACTTCCCCTCATATAATGTATTTTCTTATTTCTCATAATACTGGAATTCAAATTATTATGTATATTGGAAGATGAACCTTTTCCTAATAAGTGCGTGTTGCAATTAATAAGATTCATTTAAAAAGAAGCCAACATAATTTTCAAAATATAAATTTTCCATTAAAAGTTTGACAAGCCCATACATTTACATATAGGAAATGTGAGAATAAACTCAAGAAAATATCTCCAAAACACACTTCAACATTACCAGGGAAAAATACAAACTAGGTTTCCTTTACTTTAGGGCACTTAACTATTTGTCAGTGTTATGTATGCTTCACAAAAAATAAGAAAAGGTTGACTGAAGAAGCTATTTTTCCTTTTCTCAATTTTTACATTCAGATTAAATAATGCATACTCATTGTCTTTGAGACGACACTTCAACATGGCCCCTGAGGCCCCTTTAACTACACTAGCGCCCTGTTCAGCGATATTTTATATTGGCCAGTACACTTTTCTTAGCTCTTCCTAACTTATAGAAAGATTTTACAAAATATAATTAAAAGTATCTGTAGTTAACCTCCACAGAATGGGCTTTGGGAGCTGAACTATATTCAGGATCATCTTAGAGACACTTACAACAAACAAACAAACAAGCAAAAAAAAACTCTGCAGTAAAAATGAGACCTCTGTACTCTCCTTTTGAAAGATAAACATAAGATTAATTAAGTCCAACATGGATCTGACATCCACCAAATTTGAGTCATGCACTAGAAAAAGAGATTTCTTTCTAAATTTAATATTAAATGATTTAATAAGTTCTCTACTTTTTATTAATAAAATAACAATCTTGTAATTCAAATTATATTAAGGGTTTTTTTGCTAATAAACACTTACTAATTCCCACAATTAGTAATCTGTTCTGAGCTTTTTGTTTTCTACCGGATTAAAATTATCAGATCATCTCTTAGATTGAGTTTATTAATCTGGGGCATGCGAACTGAATTCAGAAAAAATAGGATAGGAAATGAAAAAAAGTGCATCATTATTTTCGTCCATCTGCAACTGAAATTTGGCATTTCTTTCCAATAGGAATGTTGGCATATATTATGGTGATACTGGCAGTGTGTGTGACAGATACTTTATATTGCATTACAGTTTGACAGATAAATCAAACCATAGTTAGACTTGCTCCAGAGCATGGCATGCATGATTTGATAAGCAAGCACATTTTTCTTTGTGTATTTTGTTTCATTTATATAAGCGTAATTCCCTGTTTGTCTTACATTTTTTACTCATAAATTTAAATCATTATTCTGGCTAGGTCCTTCATCGGAGTGCCAAAAGTGTCCCTAGAACCAAAAAGTTTAAAAACTAGGCTTTAATCTTCCACCTTGCCTGGTGAAATAGATATAAATTAAGAGTTGCATTTCTTCAAAATGTATGAAAGTACATCTAAAATAGTATCGTCAATGTTTTGTCACCATCTTATAAAAAGCGAACTCTCTTAACTATAGAAATGCAATAACTATGTCCAGCCATTACCATAAAGATTCAAAAGAACAATAATATGCTTTTGTAACTTTGAAAATATAAATTTCTGAATTGGCAATTTTAACAACAATAATAGAAAATCACTTGACATTTAGGCAATGATCTGGGAGAGTGAAAAATAAGAAATTAAGGGTTTCTATATTGCTCAAGGAACAAAGGTGGCTGAATTTGCAGAATATAAGAAGAGACCTTCTAGGATTTCTGCATAGAGAAAAATAGTATATCTAAACTTGTTTGGAAGAATGCTTTCAATTCCCTATGTATGCATGACTGTCTTTGTGTGTGTGTATACATTACATTAATATAGAAATTTTTTAAATGATCTAAAAATAAACATATTTTCACATTCTAAATTAGGAAAGTGGAACTGCCTTAGCAAATAAAACGACGTCAAAGCAGTAGCACTTAGCTAAAAGGCTAAGCCAAATTTTGATCTCCATAGGGATACAAAAATATTTTACCCAGGATTTGAACTCTAGCAGTAGGTGGGGATTGAAACTGCTGATGGTGATGGTAGCAGTGTGTTTGTTCTAAACCACACTGAGAAAATGTTTTCGGTAATAGTTGGATCATCTTAACTGAGACAAATGTTTTTCCCTCACTTTCATCAATCCCCTACTGAAGTCCTGCAAGGATATCTGGCCAAAGGGATTTCATCCAGATAGTTTGAAAGCATTTGCAGAAAAAAGGAGCCAGCACATATGAGCACTAGAACATAAATTTGGCTAGCTCTCCTGCCCTAAGCATAAGCATTTGGGCTGAATATTTGATGGAAACAATTATTTTTTGGAATATTTTCCAGTGGAACAACTGTCTAATTGAATTAAATCGTTGTCCTGTTAGTGCATGCTCAAATAAAACATTTGCTGTTGGAACATGATTTCATTTAGAAAGAATTGCAGGGCTAGATGTGACCACAGTGACATAATGATATTTTAAAAACAAATTTTAACTTTTCGATTTATTATGTGGCACCAATATATAACAAGTTATATAGAGGAAAATGTCTTATTGTGACAATTTTAATGCATTTGCATATTAGATATCTGGTATAGATAACTCAGAATTCGTTAGTAACCATTATTTGTAAGGGTAAAGTAGTCTTTGGTTTGAGAATAATAGAAAGGAAAACTCTATAGTAGAGTAATATGTTTGAATGCTAGCTAAAATCTTTTCTAAATGAGTGACTTGGAGAAAATTATGTAGCCTTTCTCTAGAAAAAAAGTATTTAACGACGCAGAGCAATGACTCACACCTGTAATCCAAGCACTTTGGGAGGAAGAGGTGGGCAAATCACGAGGGCAGGACTAACATGGTGAAAACTCATCTCTACTAAAAAATGCAAAAAACTAGCTGGGCATAGAGGCGGGCACCTGTAATCCCAGCTACTTTGGAGGCTCAGGCAAGAGAATCGCTTGAACCCAGGAGGTGGAGGTTGCCATGAGATGAGATTGTGCTACTGCACTCCAGCCTGGGCGACAGAGCAAGACTCTGTCTCAAAAAAAGAAAAAAAAGTATTTATACGCTTGACACAAAGATAAAATCAATGAAATCAAATCTGCTTAGAACAGTGACCATAGTTAGTCAAAGATATAAGAGCTAATAGTATAAAATATATTTTTAAAAATATTCATTTGTGCAGCATTTGTTAGATCTTTGGTTTTGGTCTCTGGAAAGCTGGGCCTATCCCCACACACAAAACCGCTTATTTTTCCTAATTGAAAGAACAATTTTAATGAAAAGTGAAAATGTTCTATCTTTACAGAGAAAAGTGTTACTCCGTGCACCATCCTTGAACGGTGAGGGAGAGATTTTTGTGAGTTAAAGGAGCATTCAGAGGGGCCGAGCTTACTAAGCAGTATGAGGACACAGAGCAGAATCGCGACGAGAGCTCCCGTGCTCAGGCCGGCTGAAAGAATCAAGGCTTCTGCAGTGCAGGATTGCATGTTTCCTTGACTATCGCAGGCACACACACGAATTGTGAGTGTGCCAGTGCTGCTTTGAATCGGATAATCGTTGTCAAAGATTAAAATGGGCAATAGGTAGGTGCTCATTTTGTTGCGACTGTAGCCATCTTTTCGAGTCATGATCCCTGCCGTATTATCTGGGGGAGAAAAAAAATGTAAAGAACCAAAAACTTTTGTTAACTGTTTTTAACTCTGTATCTTAAAGTCTCATAATTTTTAGTTTTAGAATTTTCTTAATACCTTTATTATCTACGATAGTGAAATTCGGATTGAGAGTAAATTCTGGCACTGGTTCAAAAAAGAATTTGTGACCTCGGGGAGGGTCATCTTTATCCATGACACTGATAGTCTGAATCAACTGAAACGAAAATAAATAAATTAATTAATTAAGCCTAAGATAATTTTATGTTATTTCAAGATATCTTAAATCCATGTATTTGTGCTTTAAATACATCACAAAAACAAAGCAGCAAAACAAAATAAATGCCATTTTCAGAAAATTATGCCAATGTTTTATTTTTTATGGTTTTGTCTTTGGTAACTTAGTTAAGAGTGAAAGACATCCATTAAGCAATGGTTTGCAAAGTATCTGAATACATTATTGTCTTATATCTGGCCACTTTAAAGTTACATATGTAATATGACAGTGATATGTAACCAAAATTCAACTCCTCCAATACCTATCCTCTTTTGATATTGTTAAAAGGAACAGTCCATTTTATTATTAATTGATGAGAAATCTGTTACGTTCACTAGAAAATAATTCTTCAAAGGATGAGTACATAGAAGATGCATTTTTAAAAACACCAAATGCTTAGCACAATTGCCCCTATATATTAACAATATTATTAATATATTTTTAAATAATACATGAATTTGTCAGGTACTATCAGAAATAAAATGATTTTGAAGCTATGGGCACCCAATTACACTATTTTATTCAAATTGCTTGCTTTTCTCTTAATGGTATTTGCAAAGACAGGTATACAAAGAAATGCTTTTAAGGTTTTGTAAAATCAATGTTGAGGTTTCAAAATTAGAGCACCGCTTGGCTGAGAGAAGTGTGCCCTAATGGAATAAAGAACAGCTAACTATGGGTTGGGCAGAAAAATCTCACTGAGCATTTTATAGTAGAAAAAGCACTGAGCTACACATTGGGGTATGTGCGATCTGTGTGATTTCAAATCACAGTCACTTAATTACCCTAACTTTTAACTTTCTTTTCTACAAAAACAAACAGGTATCATAGTCTAACATTATATGGTGAACAGTTATTGAAATTCACAGCAGTTTAAGCTTTCCATTGTTTCATTGTATATCTTTTAGCACCATACTAACCTACATACTCACTAGTCAGTGCTTTTTTTCACTTTAATTTTATATTAACTATAATTTCATCATTTTTGACAGTGATATGTAACTGTATTTTTAATAAAGTGCTTTTGAAAGTGCACAATTATTAATTTAATAAACTTTCCTCCTTAGAAAATTGGAGCATGAAAAAAAATTATAATATCTAATATTTTTGCTCAATCGCCTGTTCCTAAGTAGCAATAACAAATCTAACTTTTAGTAATAATTTAAATCATAAACAGATTGCTCTTTTAATTATGTGACATTTGAGTTCTTGAAATTATTAGATGGGCCTTGTGTAAGTATATTTTATGAAGATATACATATACTTAAACTCTCTCCTATGTTTAACCTTGTTAAATTCCATGAGGGTAATAATATATATTAAATAATTATGTTAGTTATGTCAGTTTAACTTAATTTTTATAAAGTATTAGCATATAATATATCAAAAGCTCACCTGAATCAATAAAAGGCAAGCATACTAATAGATAAGCGAGGAAAGAACATTTATAGGTGACTGTCGATTGACTTGTGTTCCCCAGAAAGACCTGTTCAGGTCCTAAATCCCAGTACCTACGGATGTGGCTTTAAGAAATTGGCTCTTTGCAAATAAAATCCAGTTAAAATAAGATCATTCTAAATTAGGGAGAACTCTAATTTAATGACTGGAATCCTCATAAGAAGAAGCAAATTTGGACACAGAAACAGATACAGGAAGAATACCACGAAATGATGGAGACAGAGATTGGAGCAGTTGTGGTCCACAAGCCAAGGGATGTCAAGGATGCTGGCAAGCACATGAAGCTAGAGAGTGCCAAGGAAAGGTAGTCTCCTAGAGCCTCTAGAGAGAACATAGCCCTGTTGCACGTTGATTTTATACTTCCAACCTCCAAAACTATGAGAAATGAAATTCTGTGTTTTAAGTTATTCTGTTTGTGGTAATTTGTCATGGCAGCCCTTGGAAACTAATGCAGCTATAAATTATTTTTAAGGCCACATTTTCATGGAAAAAAAAAAAGTTTGGTCTTCATGAATTTGAAAGAATTCACACTAAAAGTGTTATAAGAAATTTACATATTGGCAGACATTTAAAATCTAGAATTGCTAAGTATATAGGCAATCATACATATTTGGTGGGAATATCACCTAGCTTATGACAGATTTGGAAAAGTATTTGGGGACATTTATTAATATTTACAGGCAGAATTTAATTACTCCTACTTTGAGAATTATATCGTCAAAGGAAAGTAATACCAGGTGGTAAACAACCATAATGCACTACAATGCTCATTATGGTACTACCTGCTAGGGTAACGTTTTGTTGATAAACCAAATTTTCATTAAGAAGGAAGTAACTGAATAAGTAATGCATAACTATGCTACGAAAATTAAGCATCAAATTAAAAATAATTATTTATCAAACTGAAATGCTCATTATAAATTGAAAACTGAAAAAGAAAAGCAATTTTTAATCCAAATAGTTATGTAATAATTCCATGTTATTACAAATAAAAATCTCATTTGTATTCTTGTATATGTAGGTGGAATGTGCTATGTATCTCTGTCTTAGTCAGCTGGGCTGCCATAACAGTCCCACACACTCAATGGCTTAAACAAGAGAAATGCATTTTCACATACTTCTGGCGGATGTAAGGGTTGAGCTCAAGATGCTAGCATTGTTGGTTTCTGGTGAGGGTTTGCAAATATTAATAGCTGGCTTCTCCCTGAATTCTCTCACATAGTTTTTCATTGGTCCATGAATTCAGGGACAGGAAGAAAGAGAGAGCATGAGCTCTCTATTATCTCTTCTTAGTATGCTTAATCCCATCAGATCAGGCTCAATCCCTTTATGACTTCACATCATCTTAATTACTTCTTGGAAACACATCTCCAAATACAAGACACTAGGGTTACATTTTCAAAATATGAATTTGGAGGAGGACCACAAATACTCAGTTCATAATACTCTCTACTGGGTAGAAGAAAGACTGTATTTCAGTTTATTTTCTAACTTAAAAATACATGATGGAATTACAGATGGTTATGAACATCTACCTATTTTTTTCTTTAAAGTAGTTAATTAACTGATTAAATTACCTTTGATAAAAATTATGCAGTTATTGTTATTAAAAATGCTATATTTTTGTCAAAAATAAGCATATTCTGCATTTAGAATTACTTACACATATACATTTGAAAGAATTACTTTGTAAGAAGACTTCCTAATTTTTTTTACAAACAAATCTACTTCATTTCAGTGTTATGAAACTTCAAAACTTACAAAACACCACTCATATCAATATCTCGTAAAACTATAAAAGTGGAAAAATCTAATCAAGACAACAATTATTATGATTATCTTTATAGTAACATAAAACAATTTCACTTTCATACTTCATGTTTTATTTTATAATGTATTTTCATTCTATTAGTGAATATAACTCAGCATTAGCATAATTATGAATGCAGGTGACAGCTTCTACATATGTCATATTCATGATAAACCTGGTATATAAATTAAAACATATGTTATAATATTCCCTATTATATTATTTATTCCATCATAAAAGCATTTTTAAAATCACCTTTTTAAAATCCCTGTGACTTCTTTGGTAAAGATAAATAAATGGTGGACAAGAAGTATGGACAATAGTTTGCACAAAAGAAATCCTGAAAATAAAGTGATGAATTGTCATTTGACCTTGTAAAGAGAAAATATATTCTTTTAACTTTTTTAATGATTTTATTTACCTGCCCAGGTTTTGCATTTTCACAAACAAATGTTTCATAATACATGGCAAATTCCGGAGCATGGTCATTTATATCTAGAATTCTGATGAAGACTGGAATGCGGCTACTTTGTTTTGGGTTATCTGCAACGAGAACATGTGTAAGATTTCAGTCTCATTTACAGAGAAGCAGTGAAACCACTCACCCATTTGTAGCTTAGCAACAGATCCTTTTTGTGGTGTGCACTTTCTCAATTGGGCTGCTGATGAATATCTCAGCTCTCTTACATGGTCCAAATGAAAAGCACAATAAAATTGAGGAAAATATAATTGAGAATGAAGTATTACTTGTAATAATTTTCTTAGATTATTTTTATGTGGCTAAATTATATTTCTCTCCCATATAAGGTGTAAAAGAATATCAAATTGAAATGAATGAATTATTTGATAACCCTTAAAAATAACTTAGAAATGTGTTGACATTCTAAACCATTTCTCTAAGATCTTGCTAAGGATACAATCATACCACTCAAGAAAATGAGTCCAGCTGGTGCTATTATTTTACCACTTTGATGAAAGACAGTGTGTTCAGGTGGAGATAGCTCCGACTTACTTATTTCTGTGGCTGTAACAGTGATGTTATGCCAAGGAGATGATTCCCGGTCAAGGGCTTTCAAAGTGAAAATAGAGCCATTTTCTGAGTGGATGCCGAAAATACGGTCCATATCAGTATGCCGATCAACAGAGTATCTGACAGAAGAGAGACTGATAAATCCAGGCATTCTTCTAAGGTTATTATTTCTACCGTTTCTTGAAATTATAGGTAATTTCCACAATGACCTGACAAAGACGTGAAATGTAAAATGCTAACAACTTTCTTGAATTTTTATTTTACACAATTGTTATTTGAGCAATTTCATGTATTTGACTCCTTCCACTTACAATTCCATGATTATGTGTACTTTAGGACCATTATTTATACACATGAATCTGGGCGGCAGTTGGTAAAGTGAGTTCTTAAGTATCACTTGGTTCACCTATCATAGGCTGACTGCAGTGCTTCAGACACATGAAACAGTAATGTTAAACTTGATTAAGTCTGTTGTAATGAATAATTCAAAAGTATGTTAAAAAAATTCATAAGTGTGTCCAGAGCCCTCTATAAGTGAATATAGAGAAGGCTGTTATAAAATACATAGCTCATGAATGGCTTTTTATTCAAGAAACATCCAGCTGAATACAGGTCTTCCTTCCATCTATCCCTCCAACTTATTTCAAATCAAAATGAAATGTCATATCACCAGAGAGTTCTGTAACTTTCTCATTAGGGCTGTATATGGAAGATGCCATTTAAAGCTTTGCATCACTCTGCAGTTAGCAAAATAATCTCTCCTCTCCCTAAGATGTCTATACATTAATCCCCAGAACCTGTGAAGATTTTGTCTTACACCTCAAAAGTAACTTTGCAGATGTGATTAAGGTTAAAAACACTCATACGGGGGATTATCCCTGATTATCAAGATGTGCCTGGTTTAATCCTATGAGCCCTTAAAAGTGGAAGGGGAAGGCCGGGCATCGTGGCTCGAGCCTGTAATCCCAGCACTTTGGGAGGCCAACGAGGGAGGATCACTTGAGGTCAGGAGTTCCAGACCAGCCTGGCCAACATGGAGAAACCCTATGTCTATTACAAAATTAGTGGGGTGTGGTGGCGGGCCCCTATAGTTTCAGCTACTCCAGAGGATGTGGCAGGAGAATCGCTTGAACCTGGGAAGCAGAGGTTGCAGTGAGTTGAGACAGCACCACTGCACTCTCGCCTGGGTGACAGAACAAGACTCTAACTCAAAAACAAACAAACAAAAAAATGGCATGGGAAGGCAGAAAATTGGTTTAGAGAGATAAAACAGAAGAGAAAAAAAAGAAGAGATTTGGAGAATGAGAAGTACTTGACCCATTGCTGCTGGCATTAAAGCTGAAGGAAAGGAGCCACAAACCAATAAACAATGAATGTAGGCAGCTTCTAGAAACTGAGGATGGTCCTTAAGCTGACAACCAGTAAGAAAACAGGGGCCTTGCACACACAACTGCAAGGAAGCTGACTGACACAGCCCAGATGATCAAGGAAACAATTCCCTGGCTGGAATCTGCAGAAAGAAAATGGCCTGTTCACACCAGCACCTTGACTTTAGCCCTGTGAGGCTCATACTGAACTTCTGACCTACAGAAGTTCACACCCATCTGTAACATAACACATTTATAGTATTTTGTGTGTGTGGCAGCAATAGAAATCTAATATATACTTAAAAGATAAATTTTAGAAAAGATTAATTTATATGACAGTCCTTCAGTTACATCAGACCATGTTATGGCATACTACCTAATTTTTTACATCTTTTTGAGATTTCTGTTGCAGAGCCTTTAATTGAGCCATATCAAAAAGTGAGTTCTTCTCAAACGTTAACATTTAGGTGAATCACGTACGAATGAGTTTGATTCAATAGATCAGGGGTGGGAGCTGGGACTGCGCATTTCTAACAAACTCTTAGATAAATCCTATGCTGTAGCTCTACAGACTAGGTATTAATATAGCAGTTTTAGACTATGAGATAAAATGATTAGAATAAGAACAGAAACAGGAAAAGCAATGAAGGACAATTAACAGGTTAATCAGCCCCTGGTGTAGTCCTCATTTTTCTTGATATCTTATTAAAGACATATTATCTTATTATGAACTTCTTTTTGATCAAGTGAATTGGAAAGTCATAGTTCCCATTATAAATCTTTAGTATATTCATGCTTTGGCACTGACTTTAGCAAACATAATTGATAGATATTTAGGTTTTGAAACATTATGAAGTATTGGCAATTTTTAAATTATTGGGTGAACATACATTAACCTCAACTGTATTTTGATGTTGTTGTTGTTGTTTAAATTGTTTATTGAAGGACATCCTTCTTTTTTTTTTTTTTTTTTTTTTTTTTTTTGTTTTTTTTTTTTTTTTTTTTTTTTTTTGATGGAGTTTTGCTCTTGTTGCGCAGGCTGGAGTACAATGCCTCGATCTCGGCTCACCACAACATCAGCCCTCCAGGTTCAAGCGATTCTCCTGCCTCAGCCTCCCAAGTAGCTTGGATTACAGACATGCACCACCTTGCTCAGCTAATTTTGCATTTTTAGTAGAGACAGGGTTTCTCCATGTTGGTCAGGCCGGTCTGGAACTCCCGGCCTCAAGTGATCTGCCTGCCTTGGCCTCCCAAAGTGCTGGGATTACAGGCCTGAGGCACCATGCCCAGCCAGGGCATAACTATTTAATCTATTGTTTGAGAATTATGCTGAACCTAAGGGATCTATTAAGTAAACTTGTGTCTGATCATAATTTTAACAATTTAATACAGTCCATGAAGATGCTTGCTTAATTTACTTTCTGCTATATTTTATAAAATAATATTGCAGAGTCACAGATACTGCTTCAAAGAGAGTATTTGGGCCGTGGAAAAAGTTATTGGGTGTCATCTAAATGGCGGAATGGCTAAAAAACTTCATATAGCTGGTCTTAGGTTCTACCTCACTCCCAGTACATGGCAATAGTTCAACCATCTCCCTTTTGTCATTCAGTAGGATTCTGCAATCCACAACAGAACTACATGGAAATGATAGTATTCCCTCAAGATGTTCAGTAATCGTTACTGTAATCTTTCCAAAAGGTGTTATAAAAAGAATTTAGGCACTTAAAATACAATCATTTATGCCAAACGCAGTGGCTCACACCTGTAATCCCAGCACTTCGGAAGGCCGAGGTGGTCAGATCACAAGGTCAAGAGATCGAAACCAACCTGGTCAACATGTGAAACCCCATCTCTACAAAAAATACAAAAATTAACTGAGTGTGGTGGCAGGCACCTGCAGTCTCAGTTACTCAGGAGGCTGAGGCAGGGGATTGCTTGAACCCAGAAGGTGGAGGTTGCAGTGAGCCGAGATCACACCACTTCACTTCAGCCAGGCAACAGAGGCTTCTGCTTCCAGAAATGTTTTGTTTTAATTTATTGTTTTCTGGAAGCAGAAGTCATGTTGGCTTTTAGCTAACAATTCTCTGTAAGACTATTATCAGAGATAGATCTGATTTGTAAAATAACAATGTAGCAAAACTGAGCATGCAAGTTATATTGAAATTTTCCTTTTTAATCTCTATTTCCAGCTGGGCTAACATGAAACAAAATATTATGCTTCCTATCTATAGGTTTCAACTCTCTTACACTTCCTGATATGGGTTTTATTGATGTTGGAACCAAATCAGTATTACAAGGTTTTTGAGATAAAAGCAAAGAAAGTCATTGGAACAGTAAAAATGTACTTATTCCTTAGCTACACAAATTCTGCTTATGAATAAAAATAAACCTAAAATGCACAAAAATAAAGGGAAAGTAAAAGAACAGAACTACATCTGTGCATTGAATGGAGCTCAATTCATAATATTCACCTGTAAATATTTCTCTCTATTGTTGGAAAGGTCAATAGTTAACCATTACCTGCTTATGTCAGAATAGTTCTTGGATTTTTTCCTACTGTTTCCATTGAATATCAGAGAGGAAATTAAATTTTCCTTTTGCACTCATTGCTAGTTGCCCTGGAGTTTGGCCTAGAGATTTCTATGATATTTCTATGATTGAGGAACAGCTAACAATTGCAACATGATAAAAGTCAAACTTTGACATTATTTGTATCTTTTTTCAAGATCAAAATAGATTTGGGTTTCTGGCCACCCTACTCTTAGGTACAACCTTGAAAGGCACTGTTTTTCACCTTAAGAATCCATGAAGAAAACTCTCTAATGATACAGAAATAGCTCACTTTTAACTTTGACATTGCCAACCTCCAGGTCTATATTCAGATTTTTGTTTCCAGTGCACACGATGTCTCACAATTTGTCAAAGCTCAGAGATAATTTTCTTTTATTTAGCAGCCAAATTTCTATTTTCAACACAGAATAGGACATTCTGATTTACTTATTAATAATAAATACATTGGATTACCACAAATGACCAGAAAGAGCCTGATAAACCCTGCACACAGAACAAAGCTATCTCTATGTTCCAGCAGATGGCCTATTATGACAACAATATTTTATTGGTCTCCTCTCATTGAATTTTGGACAATAAGTTAAAAAAAGGCCATTGTCATAAATTTTTGTATGAATACTTTCTACAGAGACAGGATCCAATCATATAGGCATCAAAGAACATGTGCAAGAGGGCACAAGAGCTCTCTTCCCACAGAAGCTGAACTCTGCGTTTCATTTTTCTTGTTTGCTCTTTGTATTTTTATGTTCTACCGTTAAAAGTCAAGCATGTGTCAGATATATATATATATATTTTACCTAGCACAAATAATTTAAACTAAATTACAGACACCAGAACAAATGCGTAATATGCGAGATATGTCAGGAATACATTCCTTTTTCTCTAAGAGATTCCATATATTTCTTCCACTGACTATGTCAATTTAGCTAGGATGTCATTTTACTTTCCAGCTACTGCGCTCCAGAAACATGTTTCTTATAGCTGCGACCTATCCAACCTTCATTACCTCTCAAAAATGAATAGAGTATTAGCTATACAATGACATTATTTTTAATTTCATTTGAAAAAAGTTCAAATCTTTTTACAGAGATTAGTGATATTGTTGTTAGATTATTATTATTTTACCTCTTGCAATAAAATCAAGTAAATATGAGAGAAGCAGCTCTATATAGGAATGC